CTATCTCAATACAATGAGAAAGTGTCTCATTATATTGAGATTGTATATCCCATTGTTATAATGAGATATAATGCTATCTCATCATATATTGATGAGACATAATGAAATACTTCAATATAGTATTTCATTACAATGAGATGGTATATATTTATATTTTCCAGAGTGGCAGAAACAGACTTCCATGGAAATAAAAACTCAGGAACTTCATTGCTCCATTGTTGGTTGTAGGTTTCTGTGAAGTGCAGTGGTGCAGTGAATGGGAATCGTCTGTCATTGATCCTGACTGTTTTTAGGAAGGAGAAATGTTAGTTTTCCTCAAGTAACACTGGAATGCTGGGACATTGAATTAAAACATCATTCTGTTCTTTGGTGAAATATTTTTCACATTTCCTCTAAAAACTATCTGTTGTTTTTTTATTATTGTTTATTAGGATAGGATAGAAAGGCATCAAAAACCTATGATATAAACAGAAACGTTCTGAAAGTAGGAAATAAATAAAGATAAATCCTAATTAGGATTATTTCTGAGTTATTGTCATGGGTAATTTGTCATCTGACAGTTTTGATTGTGTCTCTGTTGTTCTGGTTGTCTGAATGATTTAAAGGGCCGATTTCATGTGAAGCTTCTTAATAGACATAAACATGCAGTAAATAAATTGATTTTCAATCAGTTTTTTGCACCAAAGAGTTAATAATAATAAACACTTTTCACTGAGAGCCATATGAATGAAATAAGTGATTATTGATATGACAGCAGCACACGGCTTTGACACCTGGGTGGTGGGCGTGTAGATGTGGGCGTGATGTCAAGTATGAATGAAAAGGTCACTATCCTGCTGGCTTTGTGTGTGTGAGGAAGCAATGAGCGGTGAGGTCAGTCCTTGCAAAGTTTGGAGCTTGATAATCAAAATGGAAGAAATCGATAATTGTGACAAAACAAAGAAAAGGTTTGGAGTTGATTGATAAACGGACAGATGAGATTCTCCGAGTTATCAGTGCGGCCATTTAACACCATCAGTTTACCATGTTTTATGGTAATAAAACATGTTTATTATTATTAAGTCTTTGGTGCGAAAACTGATCAAAACTTGATTTATTTAGTGTATGTTAAGGTTGAGATGGAGCTTCATATCAAAACGGCCCTTTAAACCATTCAGACTAGAACACAACATAGACACAATCAAAACCATGACATTAAGCTAATTTGATTGACACAACTCTCTACATCACCAAAATTGACAATTTATGTTGCTGTATGTATATTTTTGACCCAGCAGATTTGGTGACATTTTCAGCAGACCCATAATAAATTTATGAAAGAACCAAACTTTATGAATGTTTTTTGTGACAAACAGGTATGTGTTCCGATCACTCTATCACAGAAAAGTAAGAGTTGTAGAACTTATTGGGAACTCAAGACAGCCATGACATTATGTTTTTTACAAGTGTATGTAAACTTTTGACCACAACTGTACCTGCTAGTGTTTTAGCGTCTATGTGTTCTTAAGACGAGTCTGTAGAATTGGGTGATGTTTTCTATCTTCCTTATTTCAGTCAGAACACCAGTAGCAGCGTTCTAGATCAGCTGCAACTGTCTATTTTTATTTTATTTTATTTAATTTCAGTCAGACTTGTGATTACACCATTGCAGTAATAAGTGTAACTAAAGAAAAAACACATGATCAGCTGCTTGTATTCCTTTGTTTTTCTTTCTTGGGTATTAAAGTTCAAAGTAGAACCTACTTAAAGGGCTGGGCCTAGCCCCGCCTTCAAGGCACAGCTCCTCCTCACAGCTGCAGTTCCCAGACTGGCGAGATAACATAGTGACTACATTCAATGGCTCTATGTGCCTGGAAAATACACAGTACTGTCTCTTTAAAGTGTGAGTAAGTGTAAGTGCCAGAATTTGGATCAGGATTGTATATTTGAAGTTCTATGAATTACGCAGCTGCTAATTGATTGGTTTGTAAAACCTCATGTATTCAGTGGAGAAACGTTTTAACGGTTGTATATAACTGAAAATATATAACTGCTTGGCCTCAGAGACCTGTCCATGGAAAGTCAAGCCTATTGGCTGCATTGTTTGGTTGTCAGAATAACAGGAGGAACCTCAGGTCTGAAGCTGTGGTATTTATGACAGGATCCATGTTGTGAATCATACTTACTGTATGTTCTCTCTTCAGCATACGTGTATGTGGTGCAGGGGGGATGTGAGGGGTGGCAGTGGAGGGAGGGGTGAGGATCCTGTGTGTGTCATCTCTATCCTTGGCTTAATGTCCATATCTAAATTCATGTGCGGCGTGGTGGCAGTGTGGTGACGGCGGGCCGGATCACAGGCGGATTGTGTTGGATTTGACTTGAAGCCTCTTTAATCATCGTAACACCATCATTAATATTCATGCAGTCAGCTGGAACACCCGGCACTCACAGCTCCAAACTTTCAGAACAAAATGTATTAAATACAGCTTAAAAAATTAATGGACTTTAGTTGATATTCCGTAAAAATAAAGGGCGGAGGCAAGGGGACGCACAGCTCCCCTTGTCTTCCCCCGTCTCCTCTGATTGGTTTATGCAGATTGTCTCTCTGATTGGCCTTTGTGTTTTCCCTTTTTTCTGCAGATTTTTTGAACTTGGAAGAGACTTCAAAGCGATTGCGAGGCATGAACGGTCATTTAGAAGGATTTAAGCACATTATCACATCTGTAATTGTACATGAATAATAAGGAGAACTGCAGCGATCAATTAGCTCTGAGTCCACAAAAAGATCAGAAGCATGGGGAGGCAGAGGATGGCAGGAAATTAGAAAAGTTTCAAAGTGAAGAAGAAAAGACGTCTTTTTAACTGCAATTCAGCTGCTGCTCAGCCAGAGCCCCAGCTTTTGGGTTTGTTGTGGTAAACCTGAGTGATTCACACAGAACAGTTATCAGTCAAATTTTCACTGTGTGCCCAAACAATGTTTATGAGAAATACTCTGAAAGTTTCATACATTTTCTGGCATGTTTTTCACCTGAAAATTTAGGAATAAAAAGTCGAATATAATCAGTTAGTGGTATTGTTTAGTATTGGCCAGTTATTGTTTCTAGAAGGATAATTATCAGAATTTTGTGACCAATTGACAATTTCTGGCTTTAGAAATGCTTTGATGGTGTTACTAGGACTGACTCGGAGCTTGATATAATGAATAAGAGAAGTGGAAATATTATTTTTCTTGTCTTCCAGTCGATCGCGCTGCTGAGTGTCTGAAAAGAGTCCCTGTAAAAGCAGAGCTCTTCTGTTATTTTGAGCACACTGATAAAGATGATCTAGTTTAGCATTTCTGTTCTAAGTGTTGATAGATTATAATATCAATGTCAAATTTATTTATATAGCACTTTAAAACAGGTATAAAACTGCACCAAAGTGCTGCACTTATGAAAGTAACGCTTATAAAAACAGCGTTACTTTAACTCTGAGATTATCAAATGACGATTCCAAATCAGGCATTAGAGACTCGATTTGATTCCGATTTTTAGGGCCACGATTTAATTTAGAAAAAATTTTCAGCTCTGAACTATTTCTTGTATGATTCAAAAGGTGATCTAGACATCCTCTTTAAATTATGTTACTGACAAGAGAAAAGACAATGTAAGCAGAACATTTATTTAAAGCATTCCTATTTTATTGAGCAGTCAGTATCTTTGTCTTAGTTTAGCTTCATGTTAGTTTTCCAACCAACAGTGCTAAAACCAGCTCTAAAGCAGTCTGACTACCATAAAGATGGCTATCAGTGGCTACCTCATATGAAACCTTCACTGCAGGACATAAGGCACCTCGAGTCTGCTGTTTTAATGGAAAAACAGCAAAAAAAAAATTTTTTTTTTTAACTGATATGTTCATGAACTGAGGCCTGGCACTATGTAGCTGTTAGCGTTAGCCTCCAGGAAAAATGGCTCAAATACATAAACAGAAATATTAGGCCATTTTTTTTACTGCAGGTAATTTTAAAAAATTATTCATCATAACATTTAATCTGAAGTGATATTTTAAACTGCAGATTTTAGGAGATAGGCAGTTTGTGAGTTTTTCTTTAACCTGTGAGTTTTTTCTTGTTTTTTTTTTTTTTTTTTTTTAGTTAATCCCAAAGTAAACGAGGAGCTGCGGCAACGTCTGCCTTTACCTCCCAGACATCACCTTAGCAACACAAACAGGTGGTGCACCTCACTCACAATATGCAGTCATGGTCAAAAGTTTTAAAAACTGAAACACATTTTGTTGGTCACACACATTCCTATCTAAGTGTTGTCTCATCAGTTTGTTCAGACAAAACTTGAGTTTTAGTTGAGAAACTGATCAATGTCACTGAAAGTGTCTGTATTGACAGCATTGACTTCACAGGATATCAGTTCCTGGGCCAGAGTCTCTCCGATGGTGTACGCGTCTTGCTTTGAGACACTTCTGAGTGACTCTGCACACATTTTCCTCTTCCTGGACTTTGGGGGTCAAATGTCGAAGCTGGAGAATTTTAACCCAGCTCTTTATTTACGACAGTTCTTTCAGGCAAAGCATTAAATGATCCTCATACCTGAATCATCTCTGATAGCTCCACTGTCGACATGATATTGCAATGGTAAACATGACTAGATTGCACTTATCTCGTTGGAGGTACACATTCATTGACGTTTATTGTATTTCTAAGCAAATATTCTCATCTGATTCCATGTCAGATTTATTCTGCATAAACTGCCAGCATAAGAACTGAAGCAGTAAAGTTTGTAGACAACAGATGTCTGTCAGTCTCAGAACCTTTGGGCGCCGCTGTAGGTGCTGCAAGATTTGTGCAGATAAACTTCTGATGGTCAGGTCTCAGGAGACCTGACCATCAATCAGACTATAATAATTCTAGTCTGATTGATTTTTGGTCTCGGTTGACAGTAAACATCTCATGCGTTTTCTCACTGAGAAGACGTGCTGCATCTGTAGGTGTTTAAGAATCATGACTCCCTGTTATCCATGGTTTACAGATCAGGAAGCAGCCTGAGCCTGGACCGCAGCTCACCTCAGGGTAAGTCTGTCTGCCTGCCTTCTTTCCTACCAACTTAGAGAATTACCACTGGAGTGTTTTTTTTTTTCTGTTTTACTGACTTGTTCATGTGTCTGCCTTCCAGAGGTACCAGTCTGCTGCTCTCCTAGTCCTGACAGGTCCCCTGCCTGGAGGACTGCCTCTCCTGTGTCTCCTCTGTCCATCAGGAGCACCTCAGCTGCACTGTCTTTAAGCTTACCAGGGGGCAGAGGGGAGATGGAGGCAGACAACCTGCAGAGCGGTGATCCTTTACCTTGGGCAGAGAGCTCAGAGAACTGCTTAGATGAAGAAGCAGCATTAAGAGGTCCAAAGAGTCCAGTCTTGGAAAGAAACCTGGAGCCTCCTGGAAACAGGTGAGAGGCTAGTCAGTGTCCAAATCAGGACTGATCAGCGTAAGTATTTTTGTATTGTTATTTAGCATTATAATACTTATATTTTAAATTAGAAATGCACTTAATAAGTAAGGTTGTGATTTTGTGTTTGGTGAACTAGCCCTTTAGCTCTTTGTGGAAATGAAGGGCACCAGGGCCAAATCACTCCACTAACATTTCATTTGTATATTTTCTACCACCATTTGTTTTTTCTGCCATTAGCATAAAATGCTGCTGAACAAACAGCTTAACAAAAGTCAGCCTCTTTTTACATTGTTTGTGCTCCATCTTCTACCTTGCTTTTATATTGCCAGGCGTCCTGATGAGCAGCTGGGATTAGTCGACTCTGTCAACCAATAAAGACTAATCCAGGAAAATCAAGAGTCAGACATTGATACACACAGTTTAAAGTGCATGCCTTCATATCCGGGGCTATTAATAACAGCTTACATGTTTAACCAGACAAAGTGACACGATAAAAGGCAGGTAGGTAGTGTTTTGCAAAAAAAACAAACTTCTCTTGAGGAGAAATGTTGCATTTCGAGATTACAAGATCTTTGAGCTGCAAAAATCACTTTTTCCAATGGTAGCTGTGCTAATATATAATTTACATAAGAATGAAAGTAAATCTTGTGGCTATTGAGATTTTAAAAGCAGAATGTTCAGCAAGAACTGGACAGGGCCTAAAACAAACTATTGAGGAACTCCTCAAGTAATTAGTGGACAATGTGTATTCACTCTTTAGACAAAGTTCATTCTGTCAAGATGAGCCAAACACTGTAAAGTAGACGCTTAAATGTCTGCACACTGTTCGTTCTGTTAAGAAAAAGTGGTAATTTGCTGTAGATGAAAGCTCACAAAAGATTTCTTCATGTTAGAAAATGATCAATTCAAAGTGTCTGTGCTATATAGGTAGTTCATAGACTTGTCAAAGGCCATTTGTTTTTATTTTTCCATTTTATTTCTATACGAGTCATTTTTCGGTGGCTGATATTCCATTCATCTCAGATTCATCAGTCATCAAAAAGAAATTTGAAAAGTTAATTATTTGTGGAAGTTAAGTTGTGCCTGTTGAGTTTAGATGTTAGTTGAAGTTTTACGCATCAAGTTAAATAACTGACAAGATTGGATCAACTGAAAAAAGTCGATGCTGTCATGAAAACCAAGAAATCTGCACTGGGGTAAAAAAATGTTTTTACAGCACTGGAGCTTTACTATTAATGACATTCAATATTAGTGTAGCCACAAAGAACTTTTTGGGAAAGGAGTTCAAGTATTCATGTAAATTAGAAAAAAAATCTTACAGAAATAAAATGAAATGGCAGAAGTAGGTTATCTTTTACTGCAGCTTTTATCAGTGGGATATAGAGCTCTGGAAAAAAATGAAGAGCCCACAGTAACCATGAAAACTTCATGGTTACTGTGAAGTTTTACAGCCATCCCTCCTACAGAGCATGCATTTAGTGAAGTGATGAAAAAACTCCTGTTCAACAGGAAGGAACCTCCAGCAGAACCAGAACCTGGGTCAGTACAAGCAGCCATATACCACAACCAACTGGAGGTTTGAGAAGACAGAGCAGAGACGCGAAAAAACTTTTTACTAACCCTCTGTGTTAGTAAAAAGTGTTTTGCTGGAAAGAGAGAGAGCAATTAGGTGATGGCAGCATTATGTCAGGCGACGGCCTCCTCCAGGAAGGAATCGCAGCCAAACAGAACACCAGACCAGAAGTAGCTTCTATGGAGAGGGAGAAAAATAAATTTGAGAAAACATAAAATTAACATTTGAAATTACATTAAAAAAAATTAGGCTAGTAGGAGAATAAATTGAGAAAAAGTGGTCAGTTTTTCCTCCAGTAGCCTCAGCGTATAGCAGCATAACAGAGATGGCTCAGAGTAACCTAAGCCAGTCTATCTATAGGCCTCGTCAAAAGGAAAGCTTTAAGCCTCGCCAAGGACCTGATTGAGTCACAGTGCAGTACAACACTATCAACAATATGGGATCATTGTTGGGTCAGACTGGGTTGTTGACATACAACACCAATTCTTACTTATATTCTAAGTGCAACTTAGAGGAGGTCTGGCTGACCTTCCAGCTTTTACAACAAATAAGAGAGATCATCGATGTCATCTACCTGAGCTACGTTAGTTAAATAATAGTAATATTGGAAATCCTATAATATGTGTAATTATTTTTAAGGATTAATTTTGTGTCTGCTGAGCTGTGCCACAAAAAGATTTATTAAAAAGTTTATTGCTTTTCATTGAAACCCCATCTTTTTTTGTGGATACGGTGATTCATGTTAATGCGTTTCTTCTTTTGATTCTTTTTCAAATAAGCGTGTGGAGCAGTTGGAGGTGCTGCGCTGTATGAAGTGCTAGCTGATAAATTTAGCCTTTGATTTGATTAGCTGATGTGCTTGAGGGCCTTATAGAAATAGGAAACTAGTAAAAGCAGCTGCAGCAGGAGGGGGAGCAGTTGATTAGAAAGAGCTGATATAATAAAGTCAGAAACAGTCAATTACAAAATACAGTGTCACTCATATTTCAGTGCCTTATTTACCTGCTTTATTACACTAAGAAGCAATCTGACCTTTAAGGTAATAAGGGAGAATTACAGGCGAACATCAGTCGGTGCTTATTAAATCTGCTGCCTGCACTTCAGTGCTTCAGATCTGATAATGTGAGGGCGCAACCTCACTTTAAAACACCTAACAACACACAGGAGGAAACTAATGAAACACACCGAGGTGACGTCTCAGGAGACCTGACCAAACACAGCTAAACTGACCAGGAGTCGCTGCCTGCTACTGTGGAAACTCCCGCTTTGTCTGTTCAGATGGGAACTACCAGTCAGTCAATTCTAAGAAAAATAAAGTTATCAACACGCGCCAAGGGGATTTTTCTTTTCTCTGTTTTTGCTCAGGTCTGCTACTTGAGCATGCAAACCTGGGATGAGATTATGTAAATATTTGTCCATCTGTTGACCTGTCCTGAGTTATTCTACATATATTAGTTTGTATTTTTCTGTCTTTTTTATTCCTTTATTTCTTTGCCTTATGTTGAATTTGTCCTTCCATGTTTTTTTGTTTCATTTCATAAAGACTTTGCATCAATTTTCACAGAACTTTGTGTAACTTTTTGTTGCTGCCACTTGGCCAAGATTCCTTTGAGAAAGAGGTTTTCAATCTCAAGTTAATTTATATATAATTTTAAAAAATATGTATATATTCATAGAAAATATATTATGCACACTATTAAATATCTTCCACTAAGTGAATGATGTTGCATAAATAAATGAACGTTTCAATAACAGTCTTATTTATTGAATATGACTGTATAACCATTTGACGCAACAAATATAATTTCTGAAAGAAAGTCACTGTTTATATTTACCCTGTTTCTCAATAATTAAGACCCTGTTCCCTTATGGAACCTTCTGAGACGCTGATGGATTAAATGAGCTGTTTGGTTTTGTTCAGCTCTCCTCAGATCTCTGCCTCCAGCCCACATCAGACTGCGGCTCCAACCCGAAACATCTCCTTCTTACTGAAGGAGCTGGACGCCATGAGGGAACTCAACAACAAGGTCAGGAGACACCCTGCTTTCATTCTAGCTGTTCTCCTGCAGACTGTGTCCATCAGCTACCATTAGATGGGACACGTCTAGCATCCCTTTAACCCCCAGGTCAAAGGTTAGAGTTTGTGAGGAAGATTGTGTACTTAGGCACAGAAGTGAACTGACTTTAGGCCTTGATTTGGCTGCTAAACTGAGAGCCAGAGTGAATTTCTCTGAAGCGCTCTAACTCAGAAACTGCTCATCAGCTTCAAGAACAGATGGTTCAGAAGGAGAAGGAGCTGCTGCAGAGAGAGGTGGACGAAGAGCTGAAGGAGCAGCAGCGAGAGGCCCGACACTGGGAGAGACCCATGGGTAAGGAGGGGAGGTCAGCTCGATTTACACACCTGGGTCAGACTAGCCCTGGGTTTTTCATTATAATTTAGGGTTATTTTGTTGTGACTTTTTTGTCTAATTTAGCTAGTTTTAATTAGTTTTTTTATTAGTTAAATATTGTTTAGTTTTAGCTTAGCTTTTATTAATTATAGTAGTAGTTTCAGTTCAGTAACGCTGTATTTGACAGGTTGTGAATAGGACTGTCATGACACTGTCATAAACATGACATAACACCGTCATGAACATGAGTAAGTCTTCATGAATATTTATGACTGTTGTCATAAAATGTCATTTGGTAAATCATGACACTTTTAATACAAAGTTGATATTATTCAAAATGTCTTTGTTTTGATAACTTGACATTAACCAAGAAATCATGATCTGACATAAATTTGTTATAAAGGTATTACTGATCAGTATTACTGATTAAACTTTAAAATGATGTAGCTTTATGTTATTAAAGCTAAAGTTTAATCAGTAATACTGATAAACACAACAAAACCCCAAGTCCTGTAACTTTTCCTTGTGTCATCGATTCAGATGGTTGTTTTGTCGCCGGATCATCTGCTGAGACGTTCATTTCACCTTGGTGTGTTAATATCTTACACAGGCAGAACTTTGACTCCCCCGAGCTGAAGGGAGGGAACCTGACAGAAATTAGAAAATCTAAAAATGATATTCAGTTAGATTTGTTTTGTGAAACAAGAGCTGCAGTCTGAGACGGGTCCTGGTAGAAGCCCACACAGAACCCTTCAATAACCAGCAGAGTCTCCTGGCTCTCAGTCTCAGATGAGCTGTGGTCATTTCTGTGTTATTACTGCTGAAACACACACACGCACACACACGCACGCACGCACGCACACACACACACACACACACACACACACACACACACACACACACACACACACCATGTAGCAATAAGGATGTCTGCACTGATTGGCCGGTCACCTTGAGGAATACCCAATTTCTTTAGTTTCTACACTGTTCACCCAAACTGATAACTTCATCTCTTTGGTTTCTTTATGTTTTCAGTAAAATTATTTTGAAAGGAAATATTTTTGCAGCTTTGTTTTTGCTTAAACCAGGATTTCTTGTTTTTTCAGAGGTACTGGAGGAGCTGTTGGCGGCTCAAAAGGACCGAGATCAGGCTCTGATGTCACGACTACTGCTGGCCAATGAGGAGAGAGATGAAGCTTTACTCCGCGCCCGCCGGCTGCAGGAGGCTGCTGGGTATGATTCCAACAGTTCTTGAAATACTGACAACTGTAATACACAGTATTTTTTCATGTAAGTGCTCATAAAGTCATTATGAATGTTCTATTTATTTTTCCACAGACTGCCAATGTGCAATGTGTCAATAATATTTGTGTTGTTCTTTTACATAAATGTTGGTCAACTGTAGAAGTGGTCTATTTGCTAAAATAATAAGAAGAACTAAAACATATTTTAACACATATCAATATCATATTTAGACCCTGGTAGTCTTGTCAAGATTAATTAAAAGTTAAATCTACCTGTGGTATGAATAATTCTGGGCTTTCCGGTCTATATGCTGCAACTGCTATTTGGTTTAATGGGAAAAACAAAGTACTTTTTATCTTGTGTGTTTAATTCTACTGTACCATTCAGACGCAAAGCACTTTAAAGAGAGACAAAAAGAAAACAGCAAATCATAAACATTAAAACATCATAGAAACACATGGTAAAATACATATTTGTATCCATAACTGACTGGATGTTTGAATATTCTTCTCATCTAAATTTGTAGAGTTGATTAGAGTTGGTTGAAAACAGTCAAAAAGATAAAAACGTTCAGAAAATGGAAATTAGGTTTACCAGTACATAACTGTCAGATGCCTCTTGTAAAACAACACACATGACATTACATCATAAACATTCAACAATCTACAAAGAAAAGTAGAATTAATGTTTTGGATCAATTTTCTGTCAGAACACTCAGGAACTGAGTTAGGGGTGCATTTGGCAGCCCTGTTACCTTGTAGCAAGCAGGTTCTCGGTGCAAATCCCATTCATGTGGTGCCTAGTTTTCACTAGTAATTCTAATAGGTGAAATTGGTGTGATTTTTCTGTAAGAATGACCAAACACTGCATTTTTTTTTTTGGCCCAGCCATAAAATATGAATTAGAACATCATGAAATTCCCTGCAGTTTAAATGAGTGCTAATTGTGACCAAAGTAAATGAAATTATCATTTATCATTGGTCCTTTGCAAGTATGAATTGTGCTTTAATATAAACTTATAGTTTTAGGAAAACCCTATTGGGGTTTTACACTTGGGTCCTTCCTCACTATGGATATGTTGTGATATTTTTAGAGGGACTGAAAGAGAGCTGATCTTACCGTGAAAAAACTTTCTTTAATATTCCTAGTGAGTGATGTCCGCCGCCTGCTGAAGTCTGACATTTTTTTTCTCACATTTTTGTGACAATTTTCCTCTCGTCTTCATGTAACACATTTGGGTCATTGAGACGCGTCTCATTCACTGTCAATTTGGTAGCATAAGTTATTTTATCAGGCTGTGGTAAACAGTGGTAGTATGTTGGCAACATGCTAGCTAGTGTTAAAAGGGTAAGACAGTGATGGGTCACCATAGCAGCCGGTGACAGCTTTCTGCAGTCAGGTTGCATACTCAGAAATAATCCCTCTACTGACTTGATGGTTGGTTGACTTCTGTTTGGGTTGCAGAATCGATGAACCAAATGAAGCAGCTTTGACAAATTGACACTCTAGAGTAAGAGTGAGTTATTCTGAGGAGAGCTTAGCTCCTAGTTCATCACACTCTGTTCATTTTCGGTATCGGAAAGCTACCACGGTGTGTTTTCTAAGATCTCCATATTTGTTTGCTGTTGTTCCAGTGACCAGCAGTTTCTCCGAGGAAGATCTGTCGTTTTCATTTATTTACATGGGAAACATGTTTAGCGTCTGCTGAAGAAGGATCACAAGCCGCCACCGCTCTCCTCTTCCTCCCCCCTTCATTATGCACCTCCTCACTCTGGTTTGAGGGCTGTGAAATGAGCTCTTGTCTTCTTCAAGCAGCAGCCAAATAGACCAGAAAATCTAATTAGAATTAAACCCCCTCTTCCTAGTTCTTCTTCCTTTGCCTCAAACACACCCACCCTCACACCCCCAGAGTGAGAGGGTAATTGATATTGGAGGCCACAGTCCTTTTTTATGAGGACAGAATATGGAGGAGCATGTTCCATCTGTCAGGACTCAGAGTGTGTGTCAGTTTTTGTTGGTGTGCGTGTGTGTGTGTGTTTTCCAGTGGCAGGAGGAAGCCTTGAATACCTCAGCGAGTGTGTTGCAGTGTGCCGCTTCATGTTGTTGTGTGTTAGTGTGTGGGCATTAGCATGTGTGTTTTGCTGATTGAGGAGGTGACCTCAGTGAATGTGTGTTTCATGTCCATGTGAATAAAGCAAGACTGTGTTTCTTTTCCTCCTGAAGTTCCTGGCTGACAGTTTGCTGGACAGTCTCTCAGCTGCTGTAATTATTTTAGGATTCAGACAACCAGAGATGTTTATAGACCATCACGCTATTTTGTGTCTGCCTAGTTGTTTCATACACTGACAGTTGGGAAAGACAGGAGCTCAGCCTAAAAGAGACAGACCACATGGAATCACAGGACTGGGTCAGAGGTCACTGGGGTGCACCGATGCCCCCATCTGTCTACCGACCTCCAAACTTCATGTGACCTTTAGATTAGCGCGCCATCATCAGGCAAGGTGGGTGAAATGCCTTGCCCAAGGACAAAATGACAAAAGGACTGGGCATGGACTGAAACCGGCGAATCACTGATTTCAGGAAGAACTCTTACCTCTGTTCCCACCGGACCCCCATTAACCAGAGACACCTCCGTTCCAGTGGCACCTGCCTTCATTTAACGGCTCATGAATAGATGGATTGTCTTGACTGTGATGTTGGCACTGCAAGCTGGCAATCCCTTGATGACCGGAGTGACAGACCAGAGTCAAAACATCTTTGCATGGCTATTGAAGTAGACTTGAATTGCACATGGGCAACAGACTGGTAATGAAATGACATCAGATCTGGGTAGCGTTTTTCAGGATGCTTTTCATAGTTTTTTTTTTAATGGTTATTTTTTTTAGGTTATTTTAACATGTGGATGTGCTTTGATCTAAACATCTCTGTTGGAGTACTCAATCTCCACACCATGATGCTGCCACCATCATGTTACTGTGGAGAAAGTGAGTCCATAGGAATGTTGGGTTTTCACACATCGTTTTGCAGTGAGGTCCAAATGTTCTCCCGCGTAACTTTAAACCTCAGAGGCTCAGCATTTGTTTGCATACATGTCTAACATTCTGCTGACATCCTTGAAACCACTAGGCTTTAAATTATTTTCATGTTGCAACTCATACCTTGAAAAAGAGGTTATTAATCTCAATTATTTTTCTTTTTATCCTGGTAAAATAAAAGTTAAAAATACAAAACATGTTCTTAGACCAGAGATTGGATCTGAAAAAAATCACACTGAGTAAAAACAAAGTTTTGTCAAATGAAGCGCCCCCATATGGACTTACAGAGTAGCGACATGGGGTTACTCTGCAACCATCTTTCAAGTTACGGAACAAGACAAGAACTTCCTTCAGATTCCTGGAAATTCCCTCAGATGAAATGAAGGATTTCCAACAACAGCAGCTACATCACATTAGGTTCTGTCTCTCCAAAGAAGACAACTTGTAAAACTTTGTCAAAGGAACAAACACAGACTGATGGTATTCTCTCTTGGATCTGCTCCCACTAATGGCTGCTCGCGGCGTGCCTGAGTGAAGGTGTGTGGGAGTGGTAATGAAGGCGGCCGAGCGAGCCAAGCCGAGCCGGGCTGAGCCAGGCTGGATGGGGGGCTGTAAGCAGGGTGTTAGTGGAGCTTTATTGGAGTTGGCCGGTCTTTCATTATCTGCTGTTCCCTGCAGAGCGGAGCCGCCTCGACCACCTTATTACAGTTTATTACAGCAAAACAGCAGCAGACTAAATGAAAAGAACTTCCCAGGAGGAGAGACAGAAGATCAGGTAGTTACTACTAGCTGCACGTCCTCCGTCAGGAGGAGGAAGAATCCGAGAACAGCAGAGAGCGGTCCGTTGCAGGGAAGCCTCCACTGCTTCAAAATGAATTCAAAATGACAGATTTTAACATGGACTTTAGGGATCGCAGAACAAAATTATTGCACAGCTGCTGCATGGCGCTCAGGTAATCTATCAGGCGGTCGCTGTGGTCAGTGGTAGGAACACAGAGACCAGGAACCTTTGTAGGACCTCAGTAATTGACTACAGGGCACCAAGTTACACCTTTTATTTGTCATTGACAATATACATATTAGCATGGCTTGTATTGCTTTGGCTGGAACTTTTGAAATAAGCTGAATAGTCTGAAGAGCAAACACTGGAGGACGGTTCATGCAGAGTAACAGGAAGAGCAAACGTGTTCTGTAGGTTAAATATATAGACAAGTCAAACACCAGGGTGATGGCATCTTCTAAAAGTATTCATTTCTCTTCAGCATTTCCACATCTTGTTACATTCCTGCCACAAATTCTTATGGATTTTAGAGGTAATTAAAATAGTAGTTAATGGCTAACTGCTGAGTGAAAGGGTGACTCATCCTAATACTTTAATGAAAAACTTTATTTTTTGCTGAAATCTCAACTTAGTTAAAATGTCAAGTTTTGTTGTTTACATGTGGATTTATTTCTGGACTGTGACTGGACCATTCCAACAAACAAGTCTGCTTCTCTCCCAAGCCTCCCACCCCCCAATGTTAGCTCTAGTCGCTTAAGGTCTGACCAGCTTCTCTGTCCTTGCAGCAAAGAAACTCCACAGCATGATGCTGCCACCTCCGTACTTTACAACTTCCCTCTTTTCCCTCTAATGTTCATTATGGCCGGGCACTTCAGTTTTAGTTTCATCAGAGCACAGGACTGAAGTCTCCAGGACTGAACTTCTTTCTTACTTTTTATGTTGCCTCGCTGAGTGGCACAGGATTAGTTTCACTGGATAGTAACGCTCTGCCACGTTTCAACAGCATCTTCTTCAGGTCTTTATCTGAGTTTCCAACACAGTGAGCAGTCTTCCCCATGACTAGCACACTCAGTTCCTTCAGACGAGCCAGCAGCAAGTAGCGAACACCTGCTGAAAATGCAACATCTGCTGAGCTCATTTCAAGCTACCTCGCAGTGCAAATGTTGTTAAAGGGTTAATAGAGGAACCGTGTTATGACGACTTTCTGGAGGGGGAGTTTCAGAAAGAGCAGGAGCTTCTCAAAGAGACAGAGGGCCAGTTTTAAGGCATTAAGTTATAAAGTCATATTTGACATATATATTGATATATATAGCATTTTTATTACAACTAAAGGTAACCGATTATAATATAAAATGCCACTATGTGCCCACAAAAAAAAAATTCCTTTTCCAAGGGAGTATTTCCTCTTTACCGTTGCTACATGCATGCTCATTATGAGGGATTACTGTTAGATCAGGAACACAAAGCAAGCGTTTGTTTTAAGTCGTTCGTCCAGGAGGAGTGAATTCTGCAGGTGACTCTGCTGAGTTTTCTTAGATTTTAAACTCACTTGAATGATAAACTCAGGCTAATCTGCTGCTTGGTCGTATCAATTGGAATGAATGTGTGATGGAACCGAAAAAAAAATTTTTTGCCTTGAGATTACATTTGTTGTGAAATGGTATCATATATACAAACTGAATTGGAAAAAAAAGAAGTCCCATGCTTTTTGTACCTTGGAAGTCTTTTCTTAAGATAAAATTATTCTACACAAATGACATGCCAGCTTCAGAGGCTCCACAAACAGATTATCTGCTCTCCTGTTGTCAGGTCGGATGACAACAGCCTGCAGGACGTTGACATGGTGAGCAGACTCAGCACATTTACAAACCAATTTTTGGTTTATGCTAGAACTGATGACCAGACCAGGTCCAATCTGATTGTTTCTGATTCTCAGGACATCAAAGATCTCCTCCAGCATGTCTGCGAAGCCGACTCGGTCCAGGAAGTGAAGCAGTTTGGCTCAGCTCTAGTTCAGCGCATACGGCTAGCACAGCAGCGAAGGAGTGACATCACTGCTCAGGAGATGAAGGCCGTGATGGAGGAGCGAGACAAATCTGTAGACAAGGTGAGTTTGCACGTAAGCAGATCAAACATCATTGATTTTTTTTCCCACCACTTAACGTTTTAATTAAACTAATAAAAAATTATAAAGCTCAGTAAAGAAAGTTTAATCCACTATCAGTCCATGTTTACACAGCAAGGTAATGATGAAATGGATTTTTTTTTTTTGGCTTAAAGTTTTGAGGTGGCCCTATTACACATTTGTCCAGACTGAAACAGTAGCCTGACCTTTGGACTGGAGAGAAAAACTCACATAAAGTAACGGCAAACGAAGCAGGTTCTAGAGAGGCTAACAGGGTTCAGTTAGCAATGCAAAGACCTGGAGGTTATTCACATCCATAAATATTTTTAATAAGAATTTGTTGCTGCAGCAGGTTGATCTATTGACCCCATTGTCCTCCATGCTTCAACACATTAGTCACATGAGTGCATATCAATAAGCTATTTTTCTCCTCTTTCTTTGCCAATTTATATTTGTGGAACTCTAACTTAAACTGATTTGAACTACAGGTTTTCCTACAAAGTTATTTTTTTACAGCAGTCTGTTTAATATGCTGACTGATGTCAAAATTTGGTTATGTTTAGAAACATTTGAAAATGTCCTTAGCGCTAATAAAGTGAGAAGAGCAAATCTGTCCTGTATTACATGACCTTGTGTCTCCTCTGGATGTCAGCCAGACATACTTATCAATGCTTGTGAGTGTGTAGCACAATTAGCTCAAACACAATGAAGTAGAAGGCTTCTTCCATCAGCGGCAGAACACCCGGATGTAGGAGGCATGACGTCATGTAGAACTATCGATTCTGAGCTTCTCTCTCCTCATAATCTGTGGCTCCACCGCTCTGTGACCTTTAGCATTAGACCTTTGCCATTGGCTAATAAGGAAGTAGAGTGTCATAATGGGATCCTTCTGTGTCTCACGATCAAAACCATTTTTACATGCAGTAATGTCACTTATTTTTCCAGAGGTTATACTTTGATATGTGAACATCTATTAATAAAACACAAAATATTTAATTAGGTTGCTATTTGTACACACACTCATGCATTAATGGAATATAAGAAATAATATCTTCTGATTGCTTCAAAAGTCAGTCGCTTAAAGATGGATCTGATAATCAATCTAAATGCTAAACTTTATTATTGATCCTTTATTTGCCAGCAGAGATATGTCCCACATTTTCTTGTATGTGGTTTTTTATTTATTTCTGAGTTTCTAGCTACAATTTTCATTCTTACTTTAAAGTAGAAAATCCACATTTTCTCCCCCCTCCCCCACACCTAACCCCCATTTCTCCTCTGGAGGCTGATTATGATCAAAGTTCAATTCACAGAGTTTATTACCAAAACCTGCAGAGTGTTGGATTTATTACCCACAATTTATATACTGCTCTCTGTGGGGGTGGGGTTGAAATCAGCAGAAATGAAAAGAGATGAGTCTGGCTGTTGGTGGGATATGAGCGAAATAGAGTTGGCCAGTTGAATGTGGAGATTGGTTGTGCTCCCAGCATGCTCTGCGGCAGGTGGTGGGCTCAAAAGCCCCGCCTCTGATATTTTTCCAGATGAAAAAAAAAAATCAGATCAGGAGCCTTCATCTGTTTCCTTGCTGTGACTGACAGAGTGCGGTAACCATGGTTACCTAAACTGATCCAGCATCGCCAAACAGCGGTGGTAACCAAAGCAACTGGCTTCAAAAGAGAATGGGAGGAACCGAAAAGAGAAATGAGAAAGTTCTTCCTGGAAAACATAAAAGCTGAAACTCTTTCCATAGAGGAGCACCACTGTACCTGTAGCTACACATCAGTATACTTCAGATATGTTAAAAAGAAATAATGTCCCTTTAACATTCATGACATTTAACAATCAGGCATAACATTATGACGACAGTTGAAGACATTAACAATGGTTTTCTGTTCATCACATCACCTGTTAGTGACATGATGAACACTAACACTGCTAGTGTTTGATTTATATTGCCAATAATAGGACCCCAGACTTGATTTAGACTTCTGCCCTAATGATGAGAGTTTTGACTTGAACTCTTGGTGTATTTTCCAAACACATACAATGGGATTTTATAACATAATCAAGAAACTTTACCATCAGTTCTTATAAAAATGCTGCATATATCAAATATGACTTTAAAGAAACTTGACTTCCTAATTTTACACCTTGAAATTGGGTTGCTGTCTCTTTAAGAAGCTACTGCTTTTTCTGAAACTCAACCTTGAGGAAGTCATCACATCGTTGCTTCTCTATTAACCCTTCCACAATGTTTGTTGAATGGAAAAGGTCATCACCCGCAACTCAGAAACTGCTCCTGGTGTAGATTGTTTATTATAAAATAATTGGGATGTATGTTTTATATTCACCTAACTCCTCTAATGTTAGAGGAGTTTGGAGTTACTAAAAAACAGTGCATTCCAGTTTATGGTTCTGTATAGCAACAAACCACCAAGCAGTGTGTTTGCTGGGCATGTGAGCTTCAGAAGGACCATGGCTCTACAGAAGAAGATCCTACTGAAGGGAATTAATTTAATAAGCCTCATTCAGGATGGTTCAATATGTGGACCGGCCTGCTTAGGAAAACAGGACATTGGTTCTGTTTTGTGCAAATGCCAAGGACATTTGTATGTCCTTTGCTTTACCACGCCTTCCCATAGCAGACCAGATCACAGTCTGGTTTTCTTCTCACCCACATAAAACCTCTGAGAATTAAAGCTGTTCAACAACCTGTTCCTTCAGAAAATGGATAACAGAGAGGGTCTTAACGAGACTGTTTTAATTTAAGTGCACTACTAGACCCACTGGAGAACAATACAGATGATGACTTTTGTAGGGATGTTGTGATACAAGCTAGAACTTGGTTTCCAAATAATAAGACCTGCATCACCCTTAAGGAGCTCCTCAATCTGAAAAAGCAGGCGTTTACGGAGGGGGACCAGGAACAGTCGAGGTGTGTCTAACATGAAGGTGATGCTTTTACAGCATCACCTGACGCAGGTGATGCTGTAAGAGAACGATGGAGAGTAATTTGCAGCAAACACCAGAGAGCAAAGAGGAACATCACTGGTCAGATAAGCAAGATTGACAAGATTGAGGAGGATGTAGACTTCCTATTCCACTCAGAAGTAACACTCGTATGACTTACTACACTTTGTCTTGTTCAATGCGCTGTAGTCAATGCTGAAGGCCACTGACTTCAATCTCTTCCATAATTGGTCTGATGGATCGGCCACAGCCCTGTTTGTCAGAACCTGTCACTACTCCCATTGGCTGAGGCGTTTATTCCAGCTTACTGCTAGCCAACCACCACACTGATACTGCAGCTGACCCACCCATCACCTCTTATCATCCTCCTGTTATTTTTTTCAAAGGAGGCATTACCCCTTGTGGTGATGGTGGTGATGGCAGTAGGAGTTTTCCCTTCAATCGGTGGGCTGCCATTTCAATTCCTGCTATTTCTGCAATTCCTAGTTCATTGTATCCTTGGCCAAGACGCTGCACTCGCCTTACCTGCTGGTGTTGTGTCAGTTTTAGATATAGTAATACGAGAATGTGTGAAGCATTGACATATAGAATCCATACCAGATCCTACACCTTGTAGCATCTTTATGTGGAAATACTTCATTTGCATATAAAAGATGGTAGTCTTCTAGGTGAAGCTGTATGGCAGTCAAAGGACTAAAACCTTTGACTTGTCCCTCACCAGCACCTGTAGCCTTACATTTTAACCTCTTTCTGATGCCTGCCTCCTTCAAGCTGTACCTCAGTGTATCAACTTCCATCACTACCAGTGACCCCCGCCAATAACACTGCTTCACCGTCTTTTAACAACTATCCCTATTACGTTAACACCACCCCTCAATGGTAACACCTTAATCCCGCCTTCATTCCAGCACTGCGCCGCAGTGAAATATGTTTCAAATGCTGCCATAATCCTCAGAGAAGAAGAAGAAAGAGCACTCCACGTTGGAGGATCCCACCCCTCCCCATCCCTCTCCACCCCTTGTTGCTCGCCGATTCCTCATTCCCTCCTTTCATCTCTCAGGGATTATCTCCCTCAGCAGCTGGGGGTTCTTGGAAGTATTTGAAAGAGGGGGAGGGTTCTTCCTGAGCACTCCAACCTGCACGCCAGATGGAGCTTCCTGCTCCTTATTGAATTGATATCAGGTAATTACAGGTTATCAGAACTCATCAAACCTCACCTGGAGCTGCTGACCACCTCACTCCCTGACAAGACCCCCAAAAAGAAGCCTGCCGGTTTGATGCCCACGCAACTACCCTGAGTGACCCAAAGGGCTGAAACAGCTGGAGTTGCTTGTTGACAGGTGCATGAGACACTGGAGCACTTTATTCCAGTTTTTAATTAACTTTTATTAGCCAAAATGCAGCAAAAGAGAATAAATCCATAAATTACTTTTTTAAAACTTCAATAGCTTGCATAACTTCAATAACTCAGAAGATGATTAAGAACACCCCGATGAAGGCTGAGCTGCGGCTCTTTGTCAACCTGTCTGCGATACTTCGAAGGAACCCAGGGCTGTTCTTGTTCACCCCGATTAATAATGAATCTCTTCTAATGTCACACTCTAAGCTGAAAAACTTTTCCTTTTTGTCTCTAAATGAGAGAAGTGACAGTGGATTTACCTAAGTCTAATAGCCTCATTTTCTTTTACACCAGAAACACTAATGTCATACTGATGCATGCTGGGAAATCTTGTGCTCAGTGTCGATATGACATGATGGTGATCCCTTAGTAGGTGGAATGTGAAACAGAAGTCCAACAATTTAGCAATACAAGTGTGATTCATTCTTTCTGGTAACTTTTGCCAAAAGTGGTCGAATTATTCACACAATATTTAACTTTGTTATCCAAAATTAATCAGCAGACATGACCCCACATGTACACACACACAATTCATCCACCAAACTTTACCATTACCAGTGTAAGCCTGCTCAGTACTGCCCTGGTAAAAACCAGCCCCTGTTCAAAGCTGTGCTTTTGACAGAAGGTCTGAACCCTCAGCTGTTCAGAAATGATTACTTGCTGGAGGCGTGGACTCTTTAGAAGTTTTAAATGATTGGATCTGATTTTACCCAGTCGCTAACTTTTGGTCGTGGTGTATGTAAAGTTCCAGCTACGCTATGAAGCTTACCAGAACTCCCTGACAGAGCATCGAAGGAGACGAGAATCAAGCAGAATTGCATAAGGCAACTGCCAGCCTACTTCAGTGCACATCTGTGCTGGTTTGTGTCAGATATATATAGGCAGATATATCTGATACATATATCTGCCTATATATGTATCAGATACATATAGCTTTCTACGTATCTGACACAATTGCATATACTTTTTTTTATCTCCTGGAAGGCCGAGCTGCTTCTGAGTTTTTGGGAGAAACATTCTGTGCACAGACCATTACAGTTCTGATACGCCATATGTCCTTCCACACTGCGACCTGCATCTCAGCAAGTTCAGCTGATCTGGTGATGCACAGTCACCACTCATATTGTCGGAAATCTGCCTGTGCCACATCAACATGGATAGTTATCAAAAGGGCTCTTCACAATTATGTGACTTTATTTTGTACTGTGAAATTATTATTGTTAATGTGGTATTTTATATATATATCTTTTGATCTTATGTAGGATTTTGTGGAATCCTACATATCTTGATGCTGCTGTTATACCTGAATTTCCCAACAGAAGCTAGAAGGACTGTGAAATGGTGCTTCCACTTTTCTTGCCTCCTAAAAGCGCTTTGTTTCTATACTTAAAATTTTAAATCTAAACCACAGACATTAATAAAGAAACGTTTCAAACCATTCTGATCTTGGCCTCAAAAGGAAACCACTCAAAAAAAGATGCTCAGGGGAGAACACAGCGAGATTTCCTGCTGAACCTGAAGTGAGCGGCTATGAGTCAGTCAAAGGAAATACAGCCACAGCAGAGCCATCGTGTCCACAGATATCACTATCTATAATGACTCCTTTTAAGGATATATTAATTTTCCTTTGAGATCAATAAACTATTCTTTCAATAATGAAAAGTTTGTGGATGATTGATTTTCTATAAGAAATGTTTGGAGTTGTAAATTTAGCTGGCTTTATAAATCTGGTTAGTGAAGTAAGAGAAACCATCTTTAACAAAAACTTTGAAAACTCCTCAAGGAACTACAAGCGTGGGAAAAACTCAAGTCAAAACAGTGAAATGAATATAAAGCAAACATGATTTGGCTGGAAGGAAAAGGTTTATTCCATCTACAATCTGTCACAGTGCTGGAAGCTTTTATCTACAGTGGGCCATATTTAGTGATGTGGAAATCACCATATCATTTGGAAGTAATAAAGTTTTAAGAATAAAGAATCAATGATGTCATGTTTCCATTGTTTCCCCTCTTAATGTGTATAGTGAGCTTTTCATGGGCGATTTTTGTTCATCCTTTTAGTTTTGGTCTGACGAGTAAAACTGGGCCGATATGAATAACAGATGATTATTTCCAGGTTGCTTGTTGTGTGTTTCTGGGTCGACCTTGTGATGTGTGTTTGGTCATGTGACAGCAATAGTGATGCAGCGGAAGATTGTGACATGTTGAAAGAGTATCGGGAAAAAACGATCGATCAATCGGTCAGCCCAAACATCAATGTTGATATTGGTTATTAATATTGTCCCAGATGTTCATACTCATGCTTCCCTTCTTCTGGCTTTTATTACTATTCCAGTGAGATGATTTAATGAAGCTCTGACTCCTCCTTCTGTGTGTCTGCAGTGTAAATGGCTGAAGGAAGACCTGCTTCAGAGGGACAAGTCATTCAGCCAGGTAAACAACTACTGATGATAACTTCAACTTCTCTGTTCATCATCCATCCATCCATTATTATGATTATTATCCGTCCATCTTACTCAATTCTTGTATTCTTTCATCCATTCATACATTTGCTCCAACACCACTGTAGAAATATGTTCATATTAGGGGTGGGACTCGATTCAAATGTTTAAATTGAGTTAATTAATGTGATCAACACATTATTTTGTTTAGTTAAACTATATATTGACAAAATAAGCAATATTTTACATTTAAACTTTTTGCTCCTAAATGATAGAATAAATACACATAAATAAGATTGATTATTTATGTTCCTCAAACATCAGATTGGTGCAAAATATTATTCTAGTTATTGGGTGTTGTTCTATTCTGGAGTTCACAGTTGTGAACTCCAGAAAGTATAAATTGAACTTTTTTATAAAAAACGTGAAGGTATTATAATTTTTACTTTTTAATTCTCAAAGACACATTCTGCCCCTGGTTACCTTCTGCATTCATGCCAAATATGATCCAATCATGGAGAGATTAGATGAAATGCTGTAGGAACATTTGTCACAAAGATTTGTATTGGTCCATCTGAGAAAAAACTGATGTTAAATCCTCCCTTTATATCCAGATAAAATGAAAACATATCTGAAATCCTTTAGTGGAAATTCTTTGAATCGAGTCTAGTTTGTCGATCACTTCTTGTGTTTCCTGAGGAGGGAACTCCTTCCTCCCTCATCCTGGCTAACATGCATAGGTTCCTGCTTAAACCCTGCACCTGTCTGTGCTTAAGGCTTAAAGCTTACACTTAAATCAAGACTAAAACACTCTAAAGAAAACAGAAAAATCTCACACAAGAGAAGAATGAAATTTTCATGCTAACAAATATGCTCCTTTATCTCTGCCTGCATCTCTTTTTCCCCTGAAATAAATTAAATTTTGTTATTAATGTATCGCTGCTCTGTGTATCCTCCTCAAGCCTGTTAATTAGGCTGGGCTCTGGGGGGATTAGAACCGGGAGAGCATTTTAATTTCACACAGAAACATCAGCAGCTGCCATCAAATTAACGCCAGACACTCAGTGAGCTGCTGAAATCCTGCAGCCCAAATCACAAACCACAGTTCCTGGCTGAACTTTTAAATCAGGCCTTTGAACCGACTTGAACCTAAAGTTTCAAATCAAACTAAAGGATGCAGCACAATTTACCATAACCTTTTAACAGTATATGTTGATACCAGACCTCGACCACATATCTGAAATGTTACAGAGTATGCAGCTTGTGACCATCACTCAGGATTACTTGAGCAGAGACGCCTTTAAAAGTTGGAGGACATGATGGAGGTTGATGTGGCTTCAACTGAAACTGTTCTGGTGAGATCAATTCATGAGGAACACTTCTTGCTCCTGATTAGGAATAGTCAGCCGAGTTTATTCATACAGTCACGTTTATACACCAGGCAATCCAGAGCATCATCACTCTGAGGACAGGAGAGGAAAGACGTGCTTCATTAACTCTAATATTTAAGTTCAGCTCAAATAGAACCGACATTTTAAGTTAAACATGGAGAATCAGCATTCAGCTTTTATGCACCACAAATCTGGAACAAACCTTCAAACAGCAAAACAGCTGAAACACTGAGTTCCTTTGGATGGAGACTAAAACCCTCCAGTTCAGAGCTGCTTCTGAACCTTATTGGTTGACCAAAGTGCTCTTGCTGCAGTGTGGATGGTTCATACTTGGATTTCAGCCCGACAGAAAACAGAGAGTCAGTGCAGTGATTGGAGAACTGGTTGTTATGGGATCCATGTTACTGGCAGTGTTCAGGAATCTGAAGGCACCATCTTGGATGAGCTGCCACCTGCCTACCTGATTTAAAAAATAATAGTAACATTTTATTTGACTGGTTGTGAATAAGACTGTCATAACGCCGTCATAAATTTGAGTAAGTCTTCATGAATATTTATGACTATTGTCATAAAGTGTCATTCGGAACATCATGACACTTTTCATATAAAGTTGACATTATTCAAAATGTATTCGTTGTGATAACTTGACATTAACCTAGAAATCATGACCTGACATAAATTTGTTATAAAAGTATTACTGATTAAACTTTGAAAAATATGTAGCTTTATGTTATTAAAGCTAAAGTTTAATCAGTTTTATAACAGATTCATAAATGTGAAATAAGGATTGCTCCTTTAGGAACCCCATAATTCACTTGTTGTCCTGTGATGCTGTGTGCCTATTTCTTTTCAATGGTCCATGAGGATCTTTTTAGAGTGCATGACTTTATGTATCCTGTGAAATATCTGGACATTTTAAACCAGATTCTGGTTAAACTTTACCAGTAAACAGAAAACGAACACCAAGTTTGGCTGAGTCTGTATGTAAAGCCCTTCAGTGTTCCATTCAAGCATGGCGCCTTCCATAAGAGCTTCAAGTGAAAATGTTACTCAGCGTTTGTTTTAAGCGTCTCATTTTGGCCAAATGTTAAACACTAATGAAGCAAATTAAGCAACCAGTCAGATTGGTAAAAAAATGTAATTAAGCTGTGAAAGGTCATGTGACCTTTCAGCACATGACCTGTCTAAGAAAAAATATCTTTTAACTTGATTAAAAATCCTTGAAAAGGTTTCACCTTCGGAAAAAAAAGGAAAAGTGGATTGAGAATTAAAATAAGAAGCTCATAAAGCAAACCAGAGTTTAATGAAATGAAGTTTTTTCCTTCTAGATGCAAAACCAAAGTGATACAAAATCCCAGCCAGTCAGTTTGGGAACAACCTCTTAGAAAACTCTCAGAACAAAGAACCATATTTTCCACTATTTTAATACAAATAGGTTAAAGACCTTCTCCATGCATGGGTCTGAAATATGAGTCATAACATGTGAAAAGCTGTTATGCTGCAAAAAAGATTCTGGGTGATATGAACTGAAAATGATATTCCCCCAAATGTTTTGGCTTTACTTTGCACTTTCATACATATCCCAATATTTAAAGTATGTTCCTAATTGCTGTCTTAATGTTCATCCCTACACTATAGTGCAGTGGTGAACCATGTCTCTGACGTAGAATAAAAACAACAAACCTTTTATTTCACCAGTTTATGTTCCTTTAAACTGGTAAAGAGCTAAAGTTCAGCAGCAGTTTGTCTGTTTATCCTCCTCCTGTCACTTCCTGTGGCAGTTTGATGAAATACATTCATTTCAATACAACCAAAAACCCACATCATTCTGGCGCCAAAACTTTTTATTGTAAAACGTGTTTTTTTTTGTCAAAAACAAAAGCAAATTTATTTTCATAGCTCCAGTTTGAGCACCTTTAACGTCAATGAGATCGCAGCTGTTGAATCGTGAGTTCCCTGACAGTTCACTGTATCGCCTCGGTGTCATGGACGGGTCTTATGTTTTTGTGTGACGGCATCAGGATTCTGATTTGGGACAAACCGTAGCGCTGGTGATCTACCCTAAACACGACAACCAGAAGGTGACCTGAAGTGGGTCCCTGTGGCTCCCCTCACCAGGAAGTCAGAAACCGGACAGCTGACAGGACCGTGTCTGGGTTCTGATGTCGTTTTGGCGCTGTGACGTTCATCTGAAGCTGCTTTCTGTGGGCTCCGGGTTAGCCTCCGTCTCTCTCTGTGACGGCTGCACCTCTCTGCTCCTGGCTCCCACTCGTCTGACTCTGAGCAGAAAGTCTGCAGCTGATTATGTGGTTTCATGTGTAAAAAAGGCTTATGATATTAAGCTCATTCTCACCTCATTTCCACAGCCTGAATGAGCTCTTTCCTCTCCTTAATGTCCTCTCCTGTTCACCTCAACTCTTCTTGTTAAAGGTCAAAGAACGTTCCCTCGTTCTGCCCGTCCTTCCTCCTAACCCCTCCGGCTCCATCAGCTCCATCCTCTTCCTCTCCCTCTTCACATGGCCAATAAAGAACCCGTCATTTTATTCTCCTCCCCCGTCTCTCTAATCTGCCCTCATCATGTCAAAGGTCCCAGCACAGTAGTTTTATTACCTCCTCCCACCACTCTTCCTTTCTTTCGTTGACCTTAACTCCTGATGTTAAAGGTCAGCGCTGTGTCACTCCTGCTTACTGATCACCTCATTTGGAAATGATTCTGATTAATAAGGCTGGCAGCCCTTTTGAAGCGTCTCCTCCGGCCCGGCTGGAGAAGACACATATTGACTCTCTGGGTTTGGTTCCTCTTTTGATGTCTCACTTTAAACTCTCAGACCTCGGAGGCTTTAATTAGAATAGAGCCAGAGGAGGAGGAGGTCAGGGTCGGGCCTGTAATCCCAGCTGGAGTCAGCCTCCACGCACTTTCACCAAAGATACAGCTGGAAGAGTCAGCTGATGGGTTTAACACCCACAGCAGAGTTGATGAGTGGAGTGAGGGTGCAGCAGGTGTGGGAGACCTGTTGGAATTTGGTAATCTTTCACTTTCTGTATTAGCTGTCTCAAAGTTTGGAAGTTTACTGTAATTGAGTATTTAAAGCCAGATAACGCATGACGTGGCATATTAAAGGGCCGGTGTTCTGAAAAAGCTTTATTTTCTCATTGCCATCAGTCTCTCCTGATATTAGCTGGTTAACAGACTTCTGTTTTTGCAAGCTTCACTTTCAAAAGAACATCATCTTAGGAGGAAAGTCCAGCATCTGATCATTTCCAGCCCATAATATTCCAAGGCTCCGGCCGTCTTTCTTGTAGACAAGAGAAATGAAAGTGACCAGGTGGAGAGCAGTGAATGGTAAACGGTCAAAACTCCACTCACTCACAACATTTCATTAGAAGAACTTAAATCCATTAGAGACATGAGACAGAAAACGTGAACGCTTTAGAAGTTTGCATTTTTGTAGAACCCTGACACACCAGGAGACCAGTAAGTTACAGCTGAAACCAGATATTTACACGCGCTAAATAAAAACACACACTCATTTTTTTCCCTACTGTGTAGTGTTACATCACACCAAACATTTCTTGTTTTATGTCAGTTAGAATTACCAAAATTATTTCTATTTCCTCAATGCCAGAAAACCTGATGAGAACATTTTTATAATTTTTGTTGTTTTGTTTTGTAATTTCCCTCAAAATTCAAAAGTTTCCTGTTTTTTAACCCAGTACCAGAGGCAACAGGTCAGGGTTGGACTGATCTCACCATGGGGCTCATTCACTGAAACTTTTCATCATTCAGTCTTAATGTAGGTTAATAAAGGTTAGCTGCAGTACCATAAATAAACCACATCATTCTGAATCTGTTTTCAGCTGCTGCTCCATACTTTCTATTAGACTTTGGTAAATCCAAACCCACTCCTCAGTTCACAAACCTCTACAATCCTACTCCCCACCGTGTCCTTAAATGCACCAGCAGATGTGGTGCAGGAGGCTGCAGTAATGTTGTGGTGTGGGATCAGGAGCTGATGTAAATGCAATCCTCATTATCAGGTGTGTTGACATTTATGTTAATGAATTAGTCAGTTAGCTCGTTAATTAAGCCTTTATTTAAACAGTCAGTCCTGTAGTTATCCAGAACTTGATCTCCTTGCTGCTCAGTGGGAACGCACATTTAAAGCGCACTCTATGGAGCGCTGTTCTACGCCTGTAGACCCACACATGCATTTTCTGTTATTCACTCAGAATAAGAGTGACGGAGCAGAAAAGCCATCATTTAATTAAAGCGTTATCACTTTAAGCTACTGTGCTGAGGCCTGTTATGTCTGACTGCCATGTGTTCATCTGGGCAGGAGGAGCTGCTGAGGCTGCAGAAGGAGAGAGACGCAGCTCTGGACGACAAACAGAGGCTCCAGGCTCAGATTCAGGCATTACAAGCCAATCACAGGTTAGTGAGAAGCAACAAGCACAGTTGTTGCTGTTGGTGACAGACCAGACAGGACATAACAGGACAGGACAGGAGAGCTGGTGGATGTTTTGGCTGTACATATTTTTCTAGTCAGTTCATCAGTTAATGATTATTTTATACCATATTTAAAAGAAAACAAAAGAGCTTGACTTTAGCTTCAGAACATCTCTCATGTTGTTCCGTCATGGCACAGTGACAGCTCTAACAAATATGTGCAAGAAAAATGTTTGTAAAAGTTGCATAATGCAGCTTTAATAACGGTAAAAGTTCCCTGCTGTGCAAAGACTCTTCCCTGACTTCAGATTTTTGATTGTTTTGCCATCAGAATCACATTTCTGATAGCACTGTGATTTTATGTAACGTTTAAAGAGTCGCCAGTGTAGAGGAAATTAAATCAAATCAAATTTTATTTGTATAGCACATTTCAGAACCAAGGCATTTCAAAGTGCTTTACATTAGAATCTTGTTCCGGTCCGACCCAGTTTAAATGTGTTTCACATTCCTTGCACACACCTTTAAATATACATTTTCTGGCTGTTTTTCACAAACAGAAAATGACTCATGGCTTTTCTTTAGCTAAAGCATTATCAAAACTACAGGTGGCAAAGTGCAAACAGCATGTTGTGGTCAAAGTTTACATACACTTGTAAAAGACATAATGTCATGGCTCTCTTGAGTTCCGAATACGTTCTACAACTCTTATTTTTCTGTGATAGAGTCATCGAAACACATACTTGTCACAAAAAACAGTCATAAAGTTTGGTTCTTTCATAAATTTATTATGGGTCTGCTGAAAATGTCACCAAATGTGCTGGGTCAAAAATATACATATAGCAACATTAGTATTTGGTTACATGTTCGTTGGCCATTTTCACGACAACTAGGCGCTTTTGGTAGCCATCCACAAGCTCCTGGCAAGCTTCAGGTCGAATGTTTAACCACTCTTCTTGAGAGAATTGGTGCAGTTCAGCTAAATGTGATGGTTTTCTTGCATGAACCCGTTTCTTTAGCACTGTCCACATGTTCTCAATGGGGTTCAAGTCAGGACTTTGGGAAGGCCATTCTAAAACCTTAATTCTAGCCTGGTTTAGCCATTTCTTTACCACTTTTGATGTGTGTTTTGGGTCATTGTCCTGTTGGAACACCCAACTGCACCCAAGACCCAACCTTCGGGCTGATGGTCTTAAGTTTTCCTGTAGAATTTGGAGGTAATCCTCCTTCTTCATTATCCCATTTTCTTTCTGCAAAGAACCAGTTCCACTGGCAGCAAAGCAGCCCCACAGCATAATACTACCACCACCATGCTTGACAGTAGGCATGTTGTTCCTGGGATTAAAGGCCTCACCTTTTCTCCTCCAAACATATTGCTGGGTGTTGTGGCCAAACAGCTCAATTTTTGTTTCATCTGACCACAGAACTTTCCTCCAGAAGGTTTTATCTTTGTCCATGTGATCAGCAGCAAACTTCAGCCGAGGCTTAAGGTGCCTTTTCTGGAGCAAGGGCTTCTTTCTTGCACGGCAGCCTCTCAGTCCATGGCGATGTAAAACACGCTTGACTGTGGAGACTGACACCTGTGTTCCATCAGCTTCCAAATCCTTGCAGACCTTCTTTTTGGTGATTCTTGGTTGACTCTTAACCATCCTGACCAATCTCCTCTCTGCAGCATGCGCTAGCTTACATTTTCTTCCTGATCGTGGCAGTGACACAACTGTTCCATGCACTTTATACTTGTGAATAATTGTCTGCACAGTTGCTCTTGAGACCTGTAGCTGCTCTAAAATGGCTCCAAATGACGTCCCTGACTTGTTCAAATCAATAATTTGCTTTTTCAGATCCACACTGAGTTCCTTTGACTTTCCCATTGTAGCTTTTGTGGCTGAGTCTGATCACTGGGTCAAATGAGCCCTTTTTAAATGGGCTCATGACAAGTGAACAACTGTAGTCAATCAGAATCACTTACAAGAAGTGAAGAGACCATGACATTAAGCTAATTTGATTGACACAACTCTCTACATCACCAACATTGACAATTTATGTTGCTGTATGTATATTTTTGACCCAGCAGATTTGGTGACATTTTCAGCAGACTCATAATAAATTTATGAAAGAACCAAACTTTATGACTGTTTTATGTGACAAACAGGTATGTGTTCCGATCACTCTATCACAGAAAAGTAAGAGTTGTAGAACTTATTGGGAACTCAAGACAGCCATGACATTATGTTTTTTACAAGTGTATGTAAACTTTTGACCACAACTGTATGTTAAGCAGCTGACAGCAGGCTCTGCCTGAGCAGATAGCCTGACTGATTAGTTTGCTGATATCGATTTGTTGCACTTATGTTCTTCTCTTAACAGAAGAATTTCAAAAACATCTCAAATTTTCCACAATCAGTATGAAAGCTAGATTTAGCTGGGAATCATCATGTTCAGGTTGCTGGGATTTGGCTGGATATTGTTAGCATTTGATAACTACGATAGAAATAATTGTTGGCTTTTTGCTTTAAATAACTGCAGTCATTATGTTATACATTTTTGTTTAAGATGGTTGTTCAATGGAATGTGAATTTTATTTTATGGGGGTCCCTGAATGTCTGGAGGTCCCTGAATGTCTGGGGGTCCCTGAATGTCTGGTCCCTGAATGTCTGGAATGTCCTGAATGGAGGCCCCTGAATGTCTGGAGGCCCCTGAATGGCCCCTACCAGCAGCTACTGAGTTTTCTATCCCAGTCTTATAATTGTAGATCTCAGAGTATATAGAGTTAACCCCATTGAGCCTTTTTTTTTATCTATAAATCAGTCTGCAGCCATGTTGTTACAGATGTTAAATAGATATTATTAGGGCTGAATTAGTAAAGTGGCAGCAAATTTGCTTATTTCATGACTTCATAACCTTTGACCTTCTCTCCTCTGGTCTGTTTAACAGCTACAGTCTCAGATTAACTCAGCCCTCCAGGACTGTCAGCAGAAACAGAAACTTTATAGCTGTTACATTTGCTTTGCATTGTCCCTGCATGATGGCAGTAATATAGTGGGATCCAATTAGATTCTTGATTAATATGGTTGTTGTTGTGTTTTTGTTCAATGTGCCCCTTTTAACTTTGAGACCTTGCCCCTCCAAAGGTCTCTGCATGGCCCTGACGTGTGTTGCCCATGAATGCAGTAGCTGTCACTAACTCCGCGCTCACAGTGGGATTAAAAGCAGCATTTATTTGATGCATAAATGCAGACTGCTTGAATCTAGTTTTCACTAAACTCCTTAACAGTCACCCGGCAATAAAGTGAGAAGGAGGCTCTGTGGGAGGAGTTAACCTCTTGGAGAGCAAAGCGTGAGTCAAAGCATCTGAATCTCATGACTTCTCAATGAACATCAATGTAGAATGATAAAAAACAAATACATGATTACAATCATCATAATAGAAGATTGTACGCTTCTGTTCTCGACTGACGACGTTAGAGAAGCACCAGGGTATGAAGAAGCTCTTCCTGTAACTCATTGTGGCTCCTTTAGTGTTTCAACCATCGTTACACAGAGAAGTAGCTCATGAGTTCAGCAGATGTGCAGCTCCCCCAGGGTGTTTGCTAATTGCTGCTGCTAGTCTGAAGGTGACAGTGGGCGGGGCGGTTCTGGAGAACATAGAGGAGGTGGTGAACAGTTGCTATGGGAGATTGAAGGATTTTTTTCAAACATGCATAAAAAAAATCAGGCCAACACTCCAGGTATGTTTCTGGTGGAATAATGATCCATCTGTCCATTTTCTGTTCACCCTTGTCCCTAGTGAGGTCGGGAGTTGCTGGTGCCTCTCCAGCTGCATTCCAGGTGAGAGGCGGGGTCACCCTGGACAGGATGCTAGTGTGTTAACACAGAAACAAACAGACATCAGTGACAGAGAGAAAGTTATTTCCAGGGAAGCCTTTGTCTTCATCCTCCTCATCTTTTAGAGGCTCTACTGGTTTGTTCTCAGTGACGTGTGATGGAGAAGATGGAGGCTTTTCTGGAAACTCCTGCTGCTTCTGTCAACATCAAATCACAGATGCAAAGAAGTTAAAGTATTTCTCACACAAGATTAAGAAATTTAGTTATTGAGCAATTATTTGTTGTGGGTGCACTCTACTGTGTACCCACTTGTTCTGTTACATATTAAAGTGCAGAACAGACTGTGTGGAATCTCCAGTTTCTCCTCCTTTTAAAGGCAACCAGTAGGGGGCGCCAAAAACCACTCATTACAGGACAACTATGAAACCCATTTTAGCAGAATTTAACCTGAACCATTTCAACTATATTACATAAAGATGTGTAAATGTACATTTTTTAAATTCTGTTAGCAGTTAGCACTGCAGTTAGCATTTTCAGGTCTGTGTGCAAGTTGATTTCCATTCCAATATCTGCTCCTTCACCATTTGAATGATATCTGTTTACTGTGCTGTCAGCAGTTCTGGCTTCTGGCTCACCTGTGAGCCTTCAATCTTCAACATGTTGCCAACTTAATGCCGAGGATTGGTCACCTCCTCCACGTCTCATTCATTGTTTTTAGCTGCACAGTCCGGATCATTCTCCTCCACTATGTCATTAGTGCTACTGTGTGGCATTTTTCAAACAGCAGGTTGAATTAACATGTTCGGTTCCAGTGGTCTCTATGACATCAGCGGTTATGACATCACTGTGATACAACAAAGGAATCTCTCTCTTGATTGTAGCTCTCAGACAGTGTTTTCTCAGACCTGTTCCACAGCTCTATCACAACAGATCACATTTCAAAGAAACAAGAATTAACAGATAACAAACATGGACCAACAACTTTCATGGATAGAGATGATAGAAGAAAACATCCAGGTAGACTATGATGCAATCCTTCATTTTGATGATGAAGAGGAATGCCCCATTGCAACTGAAGACGAACCAACCGAGAGTCCAAGAGCATTCGACGACAAGGAGCAAGAAACTACTTATGACATCTGGAATCTGACGAGGCAGATCGA